CCTCTCTCTCTCTCTCTCTCTCTCTCTCTCTCTCTCTCTCTCTCTCTCTCTCTCTCTCTCTCTCTCTCTCTCTCTCTCTCTCGTCCTTTTTTCTATTCCTAAAAGATACAAACAGTCACAAACCTCAGAGAGAGAGAGAGAGAGAGAGAGAGAGAGAGAGAGAGAGAGAGAGAGAGAGGTTTGTGACTGTTTGTATCTTTTAGGAATAGAAAAAAGGAAAAAAGGAGAGCGAGAGAGAGAGAGCGAGAGAGCGAGAGAGCGAGAGAGAGAGAGAGAGCGAGAGAGCGAGAGAGAGAGAGAGAGAGAGAGAGAGAGAGAGAGAGAGAGATGTTTGCGACTGTCTGTATCTGCTATGAATAGAAAAAAGGAAAAAAGAAGGGACTCAGAACAATGGTGCATATCTGATCAGGTAAACATATCGAACACAGTGAAATCTTTGGAGAGAGGAAGAGGAAGTGCCAGCCTGCACCATGTGCCATGGGTGTAGCTCTGGCAGGTCGACTTATTCTTTTTCAAAAGGGGTAACCACATGGGCTGGGCTCAAAGCTCAAACTCTGTTTTTGACATCAAATATCAGAACAAGTTCAACAAAATGAAAGGAACCATTTCCTTCCCACAGTGTGTGTAGAACAGAAGCCAGGAGGGGAAAGAAAGGGAGAGAAGGGGAGGCACAGAATTCACAGAGTGTTGCAGTTGTTTATAAACCACTGATAATCATGTGTGCATTTTCGTTTTGACTCAGCGGTGCAAAATCTGATGTGGCCTTTTGCTACAAACTGTCTCAGGTGCGAGCTATAACATCACGGCGCTTTGTTATTGCTGTTGGTGGGCGTCCTCGATACATGGGAGTTGACGGGGATAAAGAATTTTGTATTACGAGGTCTGTCAGACTTTATCTTCTGGTTTGGTGGCCCTTGGGCATTTGATGTGATCACACTTGCTTGAAAAAAAAAAAAAAAAAGGCAATAACTGCCAATAAGTCACTGAAAATCTCCTGTACTAGCCTTTCTTTGCAGGAGCTGTAGACAAACCAGGATTGGGCATTCCCTGACCCTGGTTTTGTCAGATCAAGTCACTTTAAGTCTTTGAGCACACTGGTGCATGTTTGTTATGCCTAGGTGAGGTTTGTTTGTGAAGGGACTTCGATCCCTGTACTAGCCTTTCTTTGCAGGAGCTGTAGACCAGTTTTGAACACTGCTAGTGGTAGGACCCTTTTTCTGTTTGGTTCTTTGCAGTACGACCCATGGACGATACCATGGTAACCGCCCGGACGTCCCGACCGGGTTCCAGACAGTCCGGTGTCCGGTGTCCGGTGTCCGGTGTCCGGTGTCTGATCCCCATGTCCAGATGGAGGCCCCTGGGGCAAAAATCAAAAAAAAAATGGGGCGGCCCAGGACGTTTGTCGGGCCCTAGCCGCCTCTAGAAAAATAACGGGGTGATTTTTAAGTGTCCTTTCACCCCACCGGACATGGCCTAAAGGTCCAGACACACGACACTGCAGGTTTTTGACGTGGCGGGTCTCGCACAGGCCCGAGCAATTTCAAAGCGGCCGTTTCGACGTGGCGCCCGCC